AAAAAAAAAGGGAAGGAGGGGAAGATGACTTTATTTGTATTTGTTTGTATATGATTAATGAGTTGTTGGGAAAATTACGCAAGAAACTGATAAAAGTGGATTATCTCTATGGGGGCAGGGGTGGAAAGAAGACTTTTCACTGCCTATCTGTATATACTTTTTGACTTTTGAATTATGTGAATATATTACATATTCAAAAAATTAAATTTTGCAAATGAATTTTTTTTCTAAGTATCTGATGATGATAATGATGATAGGAAGAGCAACCATTAATGAACACTTAATATATACTTGGGCTGACTACTTTATATGCATTATCTTGCTTAATCCTTCTATTAACCTCATGGGGTAGATGCAATAATCACTCCTATTTTACAGATGAGGAAAAACTGAGACTCAGAGGGTTATGTAGCTAAGAAGTTGTAAAACTGGGATTCAATCTGAGGTTTGTGTGCTTAACCACTATATCACACTGTACATCTATGTAACGGTTTTGATATTGACATATGTATTGACTGATATAAAAGAAAAAAGCAATTACCTGCTGCCCTTCTGTACCCTCAGCGGTAACCATAGCAACAGAGTGTGTTCCTGCTGAGGAGATGACTGCATCATGAGCAGGTACTGTGATGGGCGTTCCATCCTGTGTTACCATTGTGATGGTATTGCCAATGGCCTGCATGTCAGCTTGAGATATGTTCACCTGCAATACAATGCATTTTACAATCAGGCAATGTTTCTTGTTTTATCTGGCAGTCTTTATTAAGGGCTAGGCCTAATCCTTGTATAAGTCTACTCTGGGAGCAGATAAGCATTTTACAATGGAAAGAGGTCATCAGAAAAACTGCATATTGCTTTTTTTTTTTAATATCTTTATTGGAAAAACTGAATATTCCTTAAATGCATTTACTCCTCTCCATCTCTACTGCCAATTTAGACCCCTATTTTTCTCTCATCTAATTTTCTACAATACAATGTCTTTCCAAATATCTAGTCTAACCCGTCCCTAATCATCCTCTACCTTGTCACCTTTCTAAAAAACAAACAAATTTCATTATGCTCCCTGCTCAAATCCCCAGTGACTCCCCATCACTACAGTTCAGACTTCTTACATGGCACTCATGACCTTTCATCATCTGGCCTTAAACAGCTTCTCCAGACTCATCTTTCACTACTTCCAAACCAGCACACAAATCTGGCACTCCAGCCACAACAGATCATTTGCATCCCCGGGACTGTCATATTCTGTTATATTTTTGTGACTTTGCCCTTTCCTTCACTCTCTGCCTGGCTAACTCATAAAAATTCTTCAAGATCTAGCTGAATGGCCATTCTCTACAAGGGCCTCCAAGATTCCTTCAGGAAGCATCATTTACCCCTTCCTCCAGGTTGCCACAACACTTTACATACCTGTCGATTATATACCCATCATTATGAGAAATTATTTTTCATTTTAGGAACGTCCCTCTCCTACTAGACTATGATACCCCCCCTTCCAGTACCCCCCACACTAACTTTACCAAAATATCTGTCATTGGGTTCAATAAATGTTTGTTTTTTAATTGACCGAAGGAATGGAATAGAAATCCCTAAAGGAAATGGGAAGGTTATATCTAGAGAAAATACAACATTGGGATGGGGAAAATAGCTGCTTTAAAACATATGAAGAGGGATTAGACACATTCTATATGGTCAGAGAAAAGCCATGAGTGGATGACACAGTGGTAAGTTTCAGTCTGATAAACCCTCAAATTATCCAGCAATGGAACAGACCGTCTCTTCAGAGAGAAACTGCCTCATCTATATGGGGGCTGCTGTAGAGCGAATTTCTCCAGCATAGGAAGGGAAGGAAGTTAGATCAAATGACCTCCACAGAGCCTATCTGTGATGACCTAATTTTTAAAAAAGGCTTAGGGTTGATGCTGAATTAAAATTGTGTTAGTAAATATGTTAAATCTTATATGCCAATCAGTGGACAAAGAGTGTTGTGTAGAATTAGTGATGTCAAAAGTAAGGGGAAGAGGAATGAATGGGATGGTACAAGTGCTTTTTATTTTCCTATCCTGAATACGTTCTGCCTTCTAGCTAACATCAGCACATTAACAGTTATCAACACAGAGGGCAAATTAATCATGGGAGGTAAAGGTCCGAGAGAGACAGGTAAGAAGAGAGTTCTCCATGGAAGAGGTAGATATAGAAGGATAAAGAACCCCATATGTCTATTTCCACCAGTTATTAAGACAACCTTAGCTAGAGCTTAAAAATGAAATCAAGTCTGAATTATTTTAGGCTAGTGGCATCTAGAAAACAATGAAAAGTTTGACTATTGAACAACAGCCATTATATTGCTTTTCCTGGGGAAATCAAGATACCTCTTCTATTAATTCTGTGAAGCTAGTTAAGTGAACTCCCATGATTCCAGGTAGGGAGAGAGTCACACTCTGGAAATTTTACAGATGTGCCCATCACTGACTTGCCAGGATCTTTTAATGATGTCCTCGTCACCTCAGCCAAACCTCTGCTGACTTCTCAATCCTATCCCTTCTCTGAATTGGGTTTCATATGGATCTATTACTTTTCAAGCCCTCAATTTCACTGTGGTTCTGACCTTCACCACCTCACATTTGAACAATACCCATAACACCATTTGAATTCTACAGAGTCACAAACCTTCTCTCTTTACTAATCTCCCTGCAGGTAGTCGCTTTCAACAGGCTACTAGAAAGCCTCCAGGAGATCCAGCACTGCCTACAAGCTAAACTCCAAACTCTGTGCCCCAATTCAAGGCTTTCCTCAATTGGGACCCAACCTGCCTTTCAAGCCCAGGCTCAGAGAAATATTATTTAACTTGTTTGACTTTTGGTGGGTACTTACATGCTGAGTCCCGTCCTGGGATATGAGTGTAACCTGTTGACTCAACCCAGACTGGGTTACTGTGGCTACTTGTGTAGACACAACATCGTCCCCTTCTACACCTGTAACATACGTGATCTGGGACCCTTTAAGAACATCTTCACTTTGACCTGTTTAAAACAAATGAATTATTCATTTGATCAAACAACCAAGCTGTTTAGAAAACAGAGGAGATTTTAAATATTACAGAGAAAACTGACAAAAGTTAAATGGCATGTGTATTAAATTCTAAATCATGTTTTTTTTTCTTTGGCCATGTGGCATGTGGGATCTTAGTTCCCTGACTAGGGATTGAACCCGAGGCCCTTGCATTGGAAGTGCAGTCTAAACCATTGGACCACCAGGGAAGTCCCTAAATTCTAAACCATGAAAATGGCTTCCAGCACCTCCTGCCAATCTCTCCACCTCCTCTTCTGCAAAGCCAAACCAAATCAAAGCAGACCAAACCAAACTTTTCCACATAAAGTGTAACTGTTCTAATTTTGAGAGACCTTGCTTATTCTCTTATTTGGAGTAATTATGTGATACCATGCATGTGTGCTGGGGCAGGGAGTGGGGGAACTGTACAGGGAGACTAACTGGCAAATAACCCTTCCAACATGGCAAGTATGCACTAAGTCCTTGCAGTCACTTAAGAAGCTGCTAAAAATGATAAGACAACCTTCATAAACATTAACCACAAAACCAGAATGGTATGTAAACACAACGTACTAACACTAAGTTACTTACTCTTTTAACACAAGTGACTGATTATAAGTCATGAGTACACAGTGACATCATTGTGTAAAGACAACGTAATGGCATACTATCTGGGTTAAGGTTAACCATTTAGTAAGTAACAGAACAGGAGCCCCCCTCCACTTCTTTATTTCACAAAGAACCAGCAAGTAAACAGCAATTTCAATAGTCAATTATTGCCATACTTGGCAACCAGGAAGATTATTGATCCCTCTCTTCTATTGCTTTCCACCTCTCATGATGCCAGAAAAAGGGTAAATATTTTTTTTTCCTTCAAAGGAGGACTTTATATGCTAATTTATGAGTACTTCTCAAAGTTATGGTTGATGCCTACACTCATACAGCTATAGTCATCATGGTGTAATCTCTATGACACTCATTACTTCATTTCTTTTTGTTCTGTTCCATGGCTATTTATTATATTTATTATTATACCATTATTCCAATGGGTTCAAAACCTAGGGGACCATATGGGAGAAAAGGAACATAAACCCATCCTTATTCTTGGAAAAACAATCTTACTTTAATTTTTTTAACAAAATGTATATTATTATAGATTATCTTCTAGAACACAAGAAATTTTGACAATCTGAAATATCAACATTTAAGGAAGAGATTGAGGAAGCTTAAAAGAGGAACAGTCTTAAACCTAAGTTTGACATCATGAAAGTCTGCTTTCTAACTGTAACATTTAGCAGCTGTTGTGATATCTAACAATGCACACTTACACTGCTTTGGCTAGAAAACAGCGTAGCATTCAAGAGTGAAGGAATTTGGGGGAATTCCCTGGTGGTCCAGTGGTTAGGCACTTTTACTACCAGGGACCTGGGTTCAGTCCCTGGTCAGGAAACTAAGATCCCACAAGCCATGTGGCGTGGCCAAAAATAAAAAAACTAAAAAATAGAAGAGTGAAGGAATTGTTATTTTCTTACTATCACATGACTGATATCTGAAAAGACAAATTAGAACTCCAGGGAATTATCTGAGTAGACAGTGAATGATCTGTTCTTTTCCTTATTCTCCAACCATTTTTTTCCTACCTAAATGTTTTTCAACACTTCAATACTAGTTGTTAAGAATGGGTAAAGATGTTTTAATTTTCAAATTTACTCCATTTAGGAGGTACTCAATGAAATAGGACAACATATGTTTCTTTTTGTTTGTTTTAGAAAAACCTACTTCATTTTACCTGTTTAACTATGCTGATTTATTTAACTGAAATCATAGAATCTAATTCTCTAAAATATTTTTTCCAAGAGTTTATCCTTATTGAAATGAATGTTTTTGTCTCCAACAACACTACTGAATAGCACATGAATCAACTAAGAGTTATCTGGGAGTGCTTCACCGCTCTTATGATTAAGACCAACATCTTAATACACCCAAATAGTCTAGGCTGCCCCTGACTTGCTGTGCAGTCTCATTTCATACCACCTTCCCAAGCAGAAGTGCCATGCTGGCCAGGCTTCTTTCAGTCTCTCCGATTTACTGTGCTCTCTCCCACCTCAGGACTTTTCGCTTGTGCCAATCCCTCTATTTGGATCGTTCTCTTGCCTTTGCTCCCTGTTTACCACCCCCCAACCCCCCACATCCCTGACTCTACACCAAGTTAACCCTTATTCACCCTGTAGATCTCTCCAAAAATCACTTCCTCAGGGGAGCCTTCTCTGACCTACGAGACTAGACTAACTTCCCCTCTTATATCCCAGAGCATTAAGCGCCTTTCTTTGATAGCAATTATCACAGCTGTAAATGATATGTTTGTGTGACTATTTGAAAAACTTTATGATTTGAGAAAATGCTTTAAGTCATAAATTACGTTCATAACTGTTGATTTTCAAACACAGACATAGACATACTGGAAAAAACCCTTACCTGGGGGAGGCTCAAAGAAGGCTTCCTGCTCCTCCTCGATGGGCTCAGTGTCATTGTGAGCTGTCCGTTTGTGCATGGCCAGCGTGGAGATCTGCTTGTATGTCTTCCCACAGTGGTTACAGTTGTACGGTTTGGAGTGAGTGTGAACAACATGATGTTTGTACAAACTGGAATATTCTGTGAACCTTTTGTCACACCCAGGGACTGTACAAACATATGGCTTTTCCCCTAAGAACAGCACACACATACAAAAAAATCAACTTTTACCTATGAAGGCATAATCATTCCATACCTTCTGGTGGGGGGAGGGGGGAGGGGGTGGGGGAGGGGGCAGAGAGAGGGAACCTCTAGTGGCAAAAATAAATAGCTGTCAAATCCCTTTCTATCCTGCTAGGAGGCAGTGAACAAGAAAAGACTCCTTAACTATGGTTTCAACTTGGATCAAAAGGTGGTCTGCACCCTGAGTCTCATCCCATGCCTGAATACTACTTTCCCCTTAATTACAAGGGATGTGAAAAATAAGGATGGAGATGTTTATTGCCCAGTTAACTCTAAGATTTGGTGAAACTGTTATTGTTACCTGTAACTAGATAATCTAGATATCATTAGTGATACTTTACTAATAATGGCAATAATAAATGCAATTATTAGTATAACTAATGTAGCTTACCCTAAGGGTTTTTAAAAATATATTTATTTATTTTCTAAAAATTTTTATTTATTTATTTGGTTGCGCCAAGTCTTAGTTGTGGAAGGCGGGTTCCTTAGTTGGGGCTCCAAGGCTCCTTAGTTGCAGCAGGTGGGCTCCTTAGTTGTGTGGCATGCGAACTTTTAGCTGCAGCATGCATGTGGGACCTAGTTCCCTGACCAGGGATTGAACCCAGGCCCTCTGCATTGGGAGCGCAGTCTTATCCACTGCACTGCCAGGGAAGTCCCCAAATATATATATATTTATTTATTTACACTGGGTCTTAGTTGTGGCACATGGGCTCCTTAGTTGTGGCAGAAGGGCTCCTTAGTTGTGGCAGGCAGGCTCCTTAGCTGTGGCATGTGAACTCTTAGTTGTGGCATGCATGTGGGATCTAGTTCCCTGACCAGGGATTGAAACCAGGCCCCCTGCACTGGGAGCGCAGGGTCTTAACCACTGTGCCACCAGGGAAATCCCACCCTAAGGGTTTTATAAGGATAATAAACAAAGATTTTCTAAAAAGTCTATGAGACATAGTTTGGACACTTCAGTAAATCTAAAAGGACACACATTTTATATTAACTTCAGTTGACTTCTTGCATCCAATCAAAAGCTATTAAATATTCACTAAAAACAACTCAATACAAAGTAATTCTTTTTCCATGAAACAGTCTGAGAACAATGTAGGCAGTACATATATTTTTAGAACTTTTCATTATAGAAAATTTCAAACATACACAAAAGTATAGAGAAACAGTGCAATAAACCCCCATGTACCAATCATCTAGCTTCAACTATCAATTTATGGCCAATATAGTTTCATTTATTCACCACACATTTCTGCCCCCTCTTCCCACCCTGGATTATTCTGAAACAGCTCCAGATAGCATTCTATCTCATCTATAAATTTCAGATTGTATAAAAGATGGATGTTTTTAAATAACAAAATTAACAATAATTATTTAATATCATAAAATATCTAGACACTGTTAATATGTAGTGGGGGGAATCTAACACTGAGAGCAAACTGGAACAAATTAACCTAACTGTAGTTTTTTTTTCTTTTATAAATTTATTTATTTATTTATTTTTGGCTGCACTGGGTCTTCATTGCGTGCTTGGGCTTTCTCTAGCTGCAGTGAGTGGGGGCTACTCTTCGTTGTGGTGTGTGGGCTTCTCATTGCGGTGGCTTCTCTTGCTGCGCAGCACGGGCTCTAGATCCCAGGCTCAGTAGTTGTGGCGCACGGGGTTAGTTGCTCCGTGGCATGTGGCATCTTCCAGGACCAGGGTTCAAACCTGTGTCCCCTGCATTGGCAGGCAGATTCTTAACCACTGCGCCACCAGCGAAGTCCCCCCAACCTTAGTTTAAATGAATACTTGTAACCACTTAGAAGGGGTATGGGAGCCAGGGCCAGGGTGGGGGGTAGCAGGGGGAGAATAAACTAATTAAAGTAACTCATACACACAGTATTTGACTAATGCTCTCAGTCTTGGACCAGGCTGGAGTGGGGAAAACTGCAAACAAATCTTCAGCTCTTCTTGGTAGGCTTGTTTATTATAGTGCTATGGGCAAAACAACTCTGAAACGATTTTAGGTGTAATAAAGGATTAAGCAATGAATAAATGTGTCAATGTTGTTGGAAGCTAGAGCACTTACTATGGAAGAAGGGACATACAAATACGGAATGAGGGAAGAAAAGAGCTCTGTAAGATGAGCTGGAATTGGATGTACTAGTATGAACTCATATACTCTCTAAAATGTGTTTATGTGTGTATACATATGCATATCCCAGTTTGTTCTCATTTTACACCTTTCTTGGGTTAACTCCATCTTTTTCCATGGTTCTGAACCAGCAAAACCAACCACAAATATAAAATCAAAATGTAATCTGTAATATACGTCTTAGACATTAGTAATTGAAATTGCTTCTGTCCTTTGCCCAGCCTGCATTCTCAAAGCAGGGCAGGTTAAAGTTCTTATCTTGGGGAATGGTTGTGGGGGAGATATGACAAGGGCAAGGGCAGGCAGGGAAATGTCAGGCAATTCCAACTCAGAGAACCAGCCCTATTCATATTTAGGCTGGAGCAGAAACTGCCACTAGGTGGCACCAAACCACAGTCAAGATGGAAATGAATTTGTATTTTTGGTGGGAGGGGGGTTGTTTTGTGATTTTGTCTTGAAATTATACTTTTTTAAATTGAAGTATAATTGACTTACAATATTAGTTTCAGGTGTATAGCATACTGATTCAATATTTTTATACATTACAAAATGATCACCACAATAAGTCTAGTTACCATTTATCAACGTACCAAGTTATTACAATATTATTGATTATATTCCCTATGCTGTATATCCCATGACTCATTTATTTTATACCTGGAAGCTTGTACCTCTTAATCTCCCACGCCTATTTCACTCATCCCCCAACCCCCTCCCCTCTGGCAACTACCAGGTTTGTTTTCTCTATCCATGTGTCTGTTTTTGTTTTATGTTTGTCTGTTTTATTTTTAAGCTCCACATAAGTGAAATTATATGGTATTTGTCTTTCTCTGTCTGACTTATTTCACTTAGCTTAATACCCTCTAGGTATCCATGTTGTCACAAATTGCAAGATTTCATTCTTTTTTATGGCTAATATTCCATTGTATGTGTATCACATCTTTTTTTTTAAATATTTATTTATTTGGCTGCACTGGGTCTTAGTTGTGGCATGCGGGATCTTTTAGTTGCAGCATGTGGGATCTTTAGTTGCAGCATGCACGATCTTTTAGTTGTGGCATGCAGGATCTTTAATTGCGGCATGCAAACTCTTAGTTGAGGCATGTGGGATCTAGTTCCCTGACCAGGGATTGAACCCGGGCCTCTTGCATTGGGAACATGGAGTCTTAGCCACTGGACCACCAGGGAACTCCCTATGTGTATCACATCTTTATCCATTCATCTATCAATGGATACTTAGGTTGCTTCCATATCTTGGCTACTGTAAATAATGCTGCAATGAACACAGGGGTGTATATATCTTTTTGAATTAGTGTTTTTGTTTTCTTCATTAAAATACCCAGAAGTGTAATTGCTGGATTGTATGGTAGTTCTATTTTTAATTTTTTGAGGAACCTCCATACTGTTTTCCATAGTGGCTGTACCAATTTACATTCCCACCAACAGTGCAATAGGATTTTCTCTTCTCCACATCCTTCCTCATGACTAACTTGGTCACCAGGTCCTTTGCTGTTACCTCTTCAATGTCTTTCATTTTTATCCTTCTCCATCTCACTCACTTCAAATATTCGAACGGCCCTTAATCAGTCTCCTTGCTTATGGTCTCATCTCCCTTTAACTTCTTTCTATGGTATTGACAGAGTGATTTTTTTCCTAAAAAAACAAATTTTCTTTAAATCCTCTTAAGGCTTCCCCTCTGTCCATAGCAGTATTCAAAACTTGTGAATGTACCAGTTTCAAAGGAAAGGGATTGTTGTAAATGCCTGAAAACATTTCCAGAGATATCCAGGGGTCTGCAGAATGCAGACTAACTTACGCAACCAAAGTTCCATTCTTCAAAAATGTCTTTTCATTTTGAATTATCACAAGTTTACTCTTAATATCAGTAATAAAAACAATACATTAAAAATCTCGCTCTCATTCACCTTTCCACTCACATCAAAAATACAACCATCTGGGCTTCCCTGGTGGTGCAGTGGTTGACAGTCCGCCTGCCGATGCAGGGGACACAGGTTCGTGCCCTGGTCTGGGAAGATCCCACATGCTGCGGAGCGGCTAGGCCTGTGAGGCATGGCCACTGAGCCTGCGTGTCCGGAGCCTGTGCTCCGCAACGGGAGAGGCCACAACAGTGAGAGGCCCGCATACCGCAAAAAAACAAAAAAAAACAACCATCTGAAACTAACACAATATTATAAATCAACCATACTTCAAATAAAAAAAAATACAACCACAAAGTGGAGAATCAAAATTAAAACGTTTTAAGAGGAGGGTGGGACGAACTGGGAGACTAGGATTGATATATATACACTACCATGCGTAAAACAGATAGCTAGCAGGAACATGCTATAAAGGACAGGAAGCTCAGCTCGGTGCTCTGTGGCGACCTAGATGGGTGGGATGGGGGAGGGTGGGAGGGAGGTCCAAGAGGGAGGGGATATAGGTATACATATAGCTGATTCACTTCATTGTACAGCAGAAACTAACACAACATTGTAAAACAATTATACTCCAATTAAAAAAAAAATTTTAAAGTTTTGGGTAATTCCCCAGCAGTCCAGTGGTTAGGACTCAGTGCTTTCACTGCAGGGGGCCGGGTATGATCCCTGGTTGGGGAACTAGGAATCCTGCAAACCATGAAGCGTGGCCAAAAAAAAAAAAATTAAAAACTTTTGAGCTGCAAATGACACCATCAAGAAATTGAAAAAAAAACGAAAACAAAAAACCCACAATAACAGGAAAAAATGTCTGTAAATCACATACCTAACAAGGGACTTGTATGCAGAATATAATAAAGAATTCTTATAACCCAACCAAAAAAAAGGCAACCCAATTTAAAAAATGGGCTAAGAATCTGAACAGACATTTCCCCCCAAAATACATACAAATGGCCAATAAGCACATAAAAAGATGCTCAACATCATTAGCAAACTAGGAAAATACAAATCAAAAGCACAATGAGGTAGATACCACTTCACACACACTATGATGGCTAAAATCAAAAAGAGAGATAACAACAACTGTTTGCTAGGATGTGGAGAAATTGGAACCCTCATACATTGCTGGTGAGAACGTAAAATGTTGCAGCCACTTTGGAAAACAATTTGGCAGTTCCTCAAAATGTTAAACAAAGTTATCATAAGATCCAACAATTCCACTCCTAGGTGTATACCCAAGAGGAATAAAAACATATATCCAAAAAAAAGAAAAAAATGGAATTCCCTGGTGGTCCAGTGGTTAGGACTCTGCATTCTCACTGCCAAGGGCCTAGGTTCAATCCCTGGCAAGGGAACTAAGATCCCAAGAGCTGTGTGGTACAGCCAAAATAAAAACACCACACATCCAGACAAAAAATTGTACATGAATACTCCAGCAGCATTATTCATAATAGCCAAAAAGTGAAAATAACTGGTAAACTGATAAATAAAATTTGATGCATTCATATAAAGGAATACTAGTCAGTAATTAAAAAGGAAAGAACTATTGATATGACATGGCTGAACCTCAGTACTATTATGCTAAGGGAAAGAAACCAGACAATAAACACCATATACTGTACATCTATATGAAATATTCAGAATGGGAAAATCCACAATTGCTTATGGCTGGGGGGTAGGGTGGGAGAAGACTGCTAACAAGTATGGAGTTTCTTTCAGGTGAGATGAAAATGTTCTAAAATTGGATTTTGGTGATGGTTGTACAACCCTGTGAATATAATAAAAAACAATGAATCATATACTTTAAATGGATGAATTGTACAGTTCGTGAATTATATCTCAATAAAGCTGTTAAAAATATATATCCATAGACACTCTGCAATAATCATGTCTACTATGCCTCCCTAAATCAACTGTCCTGGAAAATATCTTGTCTGTCTCTGTATTTCTGGTGCCTGGCAGGGGAACAAAGAGCAGATGGTCAATAACTGTTGAATAAATAAATGTAAAAATGCTAAGGTGGGGCTTCCCTGGTGGCGCAGTGGTTGAGAGTCCGCCTGCCGATGCAGGGGACACGGGTTCATGCCCCGGTCCGGGAAGATCCCACATGCCGCGGAGCGGCTGGGCCCGTGAGGCCTGGCCGCTGAGCCTGCGTGTCCGGAGCCTGTGCTCCGCAACAGGAGAGGCCACAACAGTGAGAGGCCCGCATACCGCAAAAAAAAAAAAAAAAAATGCTAAGGTGAAGTTTTTTCAAGTTGCATAATCCATTTCTACCATGCCTAGTGGCAGGAAGGAGGGAAGAGATTACTTGTAAATGGTTTATAGGAGAGGCAGGAATTCAATTGAGCCTTGAAAGACAGAAGACCAAGAACTAGAGACCGTTACCTGTGTGTATCCTCACATGGTTTTTATAATTGGTTGCACTGGCAAATGCCCTCCCACATCCTGGTTCTGTGCAGTAATAAGGTCTTTCTCCTGTGTGTGTCCTAATATGCACTTTTCTGATATTCGATGTTGTGAAAGACCGACCACAGCCTTCAAAGTGACATTTAAAGGGCCTTTCTCCTGAAAACACGAAGGGAAATACATTAAATGGTGCAAAAATACACAGAAAATTGAAATGTCTTATCCTTCAATTCTGCTTAGGATCATTCATGCTCAGACTCTAGCCTTTTTGTATTGAACTTCCCTTTGAGTTTTTTTCTCTTTTTTTCTGTCAACAGCATCATCTACTCCAAACTTAAATTTACATAGGAAAATCTGAATAGTATTCAAAACTCATCACTGATTACATGACTTTCCAAAATGGAATTACCCAGAAAGGCATATTAAAAAATGAGCTGAGAAAAGAAGACAAAGAAATACATATCATAAAGAAATACAAAAGAAAAATAGAGTCTGGAATAAGGATTAAGTTAGAACAACCCTAGAATCCCCTAAAAGCTTACCTCCTACTTTATTCTATAATACTTGAAGAAAAAGAATTTTTGGTCCTTTTAAAATCTAGTGTCTAACGCATAATATGAATCAAAAATCCTTGCTGAATATATTACTATTCTCAGGAGCTTGGAGACGCTTGCCTCTGATATAACAGATAAAACTAAGAGCACGAATGAAATAGAAGCAGGGACGTACAGCTTAGTTCCTGAACACTGTAAAGTAAAGCCGATTTGGGATCATATTTGAACTAAAAGTTAAACTTTAATGACTGGAAGAATCCTCCATGAAAATCTGCTAAACTATCTCAGAATACTTAGAAGTATTTGGGGACAAAGCGATAACACTATGTTTAAAACATCTGCAGTAAAATCTCAAACTAAAGGACCTTATGCTATACTACTTAGTCAACAGCTTATAATAGCATCTCTTATCAACAGTTTCTGAAACTCTTCCAGCTCTGATCCAAAGCAAATAATTACCTTTATATTACCAATCTGCAAATAATCAAGTACAAGGAGGGGAGGGGAGGGGAGGGAAGATAAGAACAAAGTACCCTTTAGGAAAAGCAGAGAAGGAATTTAAGGACAGGGGAGATGATCACAAGGAAGTAACAAGCCTTTCTTTCTGTGGGGCTGTGAGGGGTTCAGACACTTTTTTTAGAAGCAGCTTAATGCAGAAGAAGCAGTACTAAACTGAGAAGGAACTGGGTGCCTTAGGTCTGGTCTCTGTTGCGCTACTAAGTAGATGTATAATCCTAGGTAAGTAAGACTGTTGCTCAGATAATTCCTGAAAACTGAGAGGGTTGGTGGTCTAGGGCCATCGTTAATCTCTTGGAACATGAACCCCTTTGAGAATCTAACAGCGTTACAGGCCCTCATCCTGGAAAGAAGCATACATGCACGAATGGCAAATTGCATGGAGTTTTGGGAGTTTAAGAGAAGCCCTTGACGTTGACTCCCTGAAACGCTTCCAGAAACTACTTCCCCAAGTTCCTTCCTGCAGATTAAGAACTCCTTGCCTAGATATGACATTTCTTCACACCAGTACCTGTATGAGTTCTGATATGTTTTTGTAGATCTCCTGAAGTTTTGAAAGATTTAGTACAATTATCTTCTGAACACCGATATGGCTTTTCTCCTGTATGAGTTCTGACATGACTTTTTAATCCATAACCTTTAAGAAAAATTTAAAAGAAATGTAATTACACAAGACCGCTCTAAGCATGCCCATTGAGATTAAGTTATTGAAAAATATAGTAAACACCAAGGATATAATACTAGGCAAACACAACAGAATAACTATTAAAAAGGTACAAGAGTATGACAACTCAGGACTGTCCTGCTGAAAATTCAATAGTTCCATCTCTGTCTAGAAGAGATTGTGTGCTTCTTTTTTTAAAGTGCCCCAATCTTATTAGATGTTTACAACTCATACCCCAAAATCTTGAAGTAGAATCAAGACATGATACCCGGAGAAAACCATAATTCAAAAAGATACATGCACTGCAATGTTCACTGCAGCACTATTTACAATAGCCAGGATATGGAAGCAACCTAAACGTCCATCAACAGAGGAATGGATAAAGAAGATATGTACATATATACAATGGAATATTACTCAGCCATAAAAAAGAACAAAATAATGCCACCTGCAGGAACATGGATGGACCTAGAGATTGCCATACTGAGTGAAGTAAGTCAGACACAGAAAGACAAATATCATATGATATTGCTTATATGTGGAATCTAAAAAAAAGGGTACAAATGAACTTATTTACAAAACAGAAGTAGAGTCACGATGTAGAAAACAAACTTACGGTTACCAGGGGATAAGTGGGGGGTGGGAGAGATAAATTAGGAGACTCAGAATGACATATACACACTACTATATATAAAATAACTAATAAGAACCTGTTGCATACCATAGGGAACTCTACTCAATACTCTGTAATGGCCTATATGGGAAAAGAATCCAAAAAAAAAAAAAAAGGGGAGAGTGGATATATGAATATGTATAACTGATTCATTTGCTGTACACCTGAAACTATCACAACACTGTAAATCAACTATACTCCAATAAAATTTTTTTAAAAATAAATAAATGAATAAATGGATGAATACAGGAAAAAAACTTATAGAATGTTACAATTAATATTTGTACAGTAAACTGTATGTAAATTTTACCTCAAAAAAGAAATGTAAACAAATATTGATATGCATGCTGAACTGTTTATGGTGGTATACTCTAACATTTTTCATTTATATAAATGTTTGTAAATTTTCATAATAAAAAAGAAAAAATCCTGAGAAACAAAACCAAAAAGAATTGTGACATGGAATGAGGAATAGGGTGAAGTCAGGAGGCCTGGCAACGGTCCTGGCCCTCTTGGATGTGTACCTGGGAGGGACCTGTCCCACTGCTAAGCCCCTGTTTCCCATGGTTCCCCCTAAGGTCTGTCCTAATGTTAAACTCTGTGTCAGCTTTAATGCTCGACTTTTGTTTTTCCTGCTAAAAGAAAGCAGAGTGTGGAGTGAAATAACAAACACAGTAGGCAGAAACAGGTCTGAGGAGCAAAATGAGAACACAGAGAGAGAACAGAGCAAGCAGGACAAAACGCAGTAAGGGAGAGATTGGAAAACTAGTCACTGTGTGCCCACTAATTCAGACCAAGGCAAGGGGTCAGTTCCTGCCTCTGACCCGTCTCTGCTTGACCCCCAAGTGGAACCAAGAAACAAAGAAAATTCATGTTTTTACCTGTTGCAAATGCTTTCCCACAGCCTGCATGCTCACACTGATAAGGCCGGTCTCCTGTGTGTGATCGCTCATGCACCTGTTATTAAAACACGGGCATGAGTTTATTTCCTTGAGGCACTCCACAGGTGGATGGTCTACACAGAGACCTTTTTTATTTCCCCACTGCTGAATTATGTTGTTGCTTGTATGTTATTTTTGAAAAACAAAAGATAACTTCTTTTCTCAAAAACTACAGGTCAATAATTCTCAATATAGACCAAATGTTGTACGTTAAGAAGTACTCATTTTAAATAAGGAACAGGGGACTTCCCTGGTGGCACAGTGGTTAAGAATCTGCCTGCCAATGCAGGGGACACGGCTTCCATCCCTGGTCCGGGAAGATCCCACACGACACAAAGCAACTAAGCCCGTGCGCCACAACTACTGAGCCTGCACTCTAGAGCCCGTGAGCCACAACTACTGAAGCCTGCGTGCCACAACTGCTGAGCCCGCGTGCTGCAACTACCGAAGCCCACGTGCCTAGAGCCCATGCTCCATAACAAGAGAAGCCACCATAATGAGAAGCCCACTCGCCGCAACTAGAGAAAGCCCGTGTGCAGCAACGGAGACCCAACGCAGCCAAAAATAAAAATATATATATATATATAAATTAAAAAATAAGAGGTTCAAGTTTTTCTAGAGTGGTCAAAGGTGTTTGAATGGAACATGTACCTGGTGAGACGCAGGAGTACAAGGAGACGCTACACAACATAAGGCTAAGAGTGTGGAGGCTGCTGGCAGAGGGGCCTCAATCTGAGGCAAGGCTTCACTGCTGACTAGTGGTGTGGCCATGGCACTTGCCTTCTCTCAGCCTCAAAGTCCTCTCTGTAAAGTGGGGACATAATAGTACCTACGATAGAGGGCTGCTGTGACAAATGAATACTCATGACAATGGCCAACATTTACTGAACCTTTACCACATGCCAGGCCATTCTCTTCAGTACTTTACATGTACAGAATTAACTAACTTAATTCTCACAACCACTCATTGAGGGAGGTACTTTTATCATCCAATATTATAGATAAGGAAAATGAGGTACTTAAGAGGTCAAGTAACATGTAAACACTGATAAGTAGTGGAGATGGGCTCTAGGGATGTTATTCCAAATATGCTAAATGCACACTTCCTGACACATTGTGAGTTATTCAATAAATGTTAGCTATTATTTTTATGGGTCATGGTATGTTGTGTTTAGCTGCAATCAAAATACTTGGCCTATGTATTTGACAGACAGGACAAATTAACACCAACTTTCACTATATTTCAGCAAATCACTGTTAACGGAATGATTACACATATATCTCCCATGTAATTACATAAATTTCACATTTGAGAAAAGTGTATTCAAATATGTAGAGTACCCCTATCATGTGTCACGTAGTATGCTGGACCTGAGGGAGCCAGAGATGAAAAAAGCATAGTCCAAGCCCTCAAAGAGTTCAGTTTCTAAAATCTGCATAGGCTTTTGTGTGAGTATATTTGTATCTTGATAGGTGGGGGAGAACAATGGTGTCTGAATACTGCAAACACATTATATTGGCATTTAATGCCCTATTCTCATAACTAGACACAGCCTTCCCTTCATATATACCTTAAGATGATGAGCTGTTGTATATAATTTTCCACATCCGTCATAGCCACATCGAAAGGCCTTCTCTCCACTCTGCTGAGACTTAGCAGTTACTCTTGTTGCATGTCCTTGTAAGACAATCTAGATGAAACAAAAAGTATGATTTAAATTATTTATACAGAAATAAAGTAGATGAAATTACAATTTTCAGGATAAAAAAGATAAAACTGTAATGTGGTTTTCCAGACTCAGGTCATCATTTTATGAAGATTCTATCATGCTGAGCCAGTTAGTTAATTCTGTTCCATGGCTGAAGTCAGCAGCTCTGGAAGAAGTCAAAAGGAGATCCACAAGGGGGCACAGTCAGCGCTCACAGGTCGATTCCCACTCTAGAAAAGTCAAGCCAGGGAGCATCCATCGATGCATTATATGCAGGTGTTCCTTGACATACTCCAGGGAAGTGTGTGTGTGTGTGTGTGTGTGTGTGTGTGTGTGTGTGTGTGTGTGTGTGTGTGTGTGTGTGTGTGTGTGTGTGTGTGTGTGTGTGTGTGTATGTGTGTGTATGTATATATATGTATATATATTTATAATGTATATATATTTTAGGACATATGTTCTAAACAATGTAAAAATCATTTTCAATTTCAAAAGCAAAGGAAAAGAGGGGGTTAGGTCATTTGAGTCGCCTGTGGGAGACATTACAATCCATATGATCCTAGTCTATACTTACATAGTGTTAAGTAGAAGATCACTTCTCTGGAACTCAACACAAGACTTTAAACAACTGCACTGATGTTAGAGGTTTTTTAAAGATTATGACCTATTTTAGAAATTGAGGTACCATGAAAATTGAAGAATAACTTTCTACTCTGTGGGCATGTGGTGATGGTGCTGCCACATCCTATCTGTGCAGATTGTCATACTTGGCTCAAAAATGACTCTGGGACTTCCCTGGTGGCGCAGTGGTTAAAAATCCGCCTGCCAATGCAGGGGACACGGGTTCGAGCCCTGGTCCAGGAAGATCCCACATGCCGTGGAGCAACTAAGCCTGTGCACCACAACTACTGAGCCTGAGCTCTAGAGCCCTGAGCCACAACTACTGACCCATGCACCCAGAGCCCATGCTCCACAATAAGAGAAGCCACCACAATGAGAAGCACGTGCACTGCGACCAAGGGTAGCACCTGCTCACCACAAGTAGAGAAAGCCTGCGCAGCAACGAAGACCCAATGCAGCCAAAAATAAATAAATAAAAATAAATTGTTTTAAAAAACTGCCAAGCCAAAGGACTTTGATCTCCAATGTAAATAAAATTAGTTTTTAATGAAGTCAAAACTAATGGAAACCATGAAAAAGGACCTTGGATTCTAACAGAACATGTAAAGCATCAACAATGCTGCATGATGCTAACACATTTACAAATACATTCTCATGTGTTACCTAAAATATTAATCAAATGAAACTCTCATTTGGTTTTCATAACCCCACGAGATGGGTAAGGCAAAGATTATTGTTCTCATTTAGCTAATAAGTCTCAGATCCACAGAAATTAAGTAATTTGCCCACAGTCACACAGATACTACATAGCAGAATGGAAGCTCGACTGAGATGTTTTTATTACAAATTACATGTTACTTTAATAGCACGCTGTTCTGCTTAACTAAGGGTGGTGTAGCTGAAGGGCAATGACAACAGTCATAGCCTCCCTGAAACACACATATCCCATCATCCTTATGGTTCTTACAACTGAACACATGGGCAAACTTAAACAGAGTACTTCAGATGAGTGTTTTCAAATTCGGTACTACTGGGGCTTCCCTGGTGGCGCAGTGGTTGAGAGTCCACCTGCTGATGCAGGCGACACAGGTTTGTGCCCTGGTCCGGGAAGATCCCACATGCTGCGGAGCAGCTGGGCCCGTGAGCCATGGCCGCTGAGCCTGCGTGTCCGGAGCCTGTGCTCCGCAACGGGAGAGGCCACAACAGTGAGAGGCCCGCGTATCACCAAAAAAACAAAACAAAACAAAACAAATTCGGTACTGCTGACATTTTGAAAGAATAATTCTTTGTTGTAGTGGGGCTGTTCTATGCCTTGCAGGACATCTACCCAGAATACGTCCCCAATTGTGACAACCAAACTTGTCTTCAGACACTGCCAAATGTCCCCCAGGGGGCAAAACTGCCTTCCCACAAGCACATTAAGTTTTAGATACTCTAGGTCTTTCTTGTTCTATGAAATCTGGTTTCAAGTAAGAGATCAGCTCAGCAGCACAACTAGTATGCTTATGTTATAGATGAAAGAAAAAGCTCTAAACTGTAAGCATCACAATGAAAAAAAATCTAAAGCTTTGAAACAAGACTGTAAAAAAAAATCTATCGCATTAGGTATAGACCTCTTTACTTTAAAGTTCAGCCAGACACAGAGTTACAACTTCTTAAGCAACTCTGGCAGAAGTAGGATGAGTACTAAGAGACAAACCAAGACGTTACAGGTCCTGCTTATTTGCAGCGGTTCTTCTGGGATATTTTGACCTTTAAATACCACGTATTGGGTCCTCAACCTCAACTATGGTACTCAATTGTTTTGGAGGATAGAAGATTCAGAAACTTCTGGTCTAGCACTTAATGAAGAGAAATATGAGTCACAAATACAAGCCACATATATAATTTTTTTTTTGGGCCGTGGTGGGTCTTCGTTGCTGCGCACGGGCTTTCTCTAGCTGCGGCGAGCAGCGGCTACTCTTCGTTGCGGTGCGCAGCCTTCTCATCGAGGTGGTTTCTCTTGTTGTGGCTCGCGAGCTCTAGGCACGCAGGCTTTAGTAGTTGTGGTGCACGGGCTTAGCTGCTCCGCGGCATGTGGGATCTTCCCAGGGATGGAACCTGTGTCCCCTGCACCGGCAGGCAGATTGTTAACCACTGCACCACCAGGGAAGTCCCCACATATATAATTTAAAATGTTCTAGTAACTACATTTTAAAAGGAAAAAGAAACAGGTGAAATTAATTTTAGTAATTATTTTATTTTACCTAGTATGTCCAAAATATTATCATTTCAACATGTAATCAACAGGAGACATTATTAATGAGATATTTTACATTCTTTTTTTTTTTTTTTTGCTGTATGCGGGCCTCTCACTGTTGTGGCCTCTCCCATTGCGGAGCATAGGCTCCGGACGCGCAGGCTCAGCGGCCATGCCTCACGGGCGCAGCCGCTCCGCGGCATGTGGGATCTTCCCGTACCAGGGCACGAACCCGCGTCCCCTGCATCGGCAGGTGGACTCTCAACCACTGCGCCACCAGGGAAGCCCTACATTCTTATTTTCATTGTAAGTCTTTTAACTCTGGTATGTATTTTACACTCACGGCACATGCCAATTCTGGCTAGTCACATTTCAAGTGCTCAGTAGCGACAACATTTTGGACAGCATAGATGTAGTCTGTAAGGAGAGGTACAAAGGGAAAAGGCGAAAAAGCTACAGTCAGAACAAAAATCCTATTCAACTTTCTTCATTTTCTTTGTCTATTGGCACAAACACCAAATGGTTATATATCTGCAGATAAAGAGTAAGCGTGCTTTTTACGACATTCTGTTTCAGCAGTTCTGAATTCCTAGTATGTTTCTGGGTTCAGAAATTAATTATTGATCGTAATAGAATTTTATGCTAATAGTATAATGTTATACGGACCAATGGTAAATTCACTCATTTTTTGTAAGACCTATTCTAGTTTATTACAAGTGTAGTTACAACTGTCTTTCTTTAAAAATATTCTATTATTTGAAAACTTAATTGTTAGTCACTAATAAGAGACAGAAAGAACCCTATTGGGCCACTCCAAGGCACTGACCTACATCTCTTGTATATATTTACACTGTGTTTGCATTTTAGTAGAGTTTGACTTTGATAGATTTGACATACTGCAGTATAAAAAATATTAAAGTCTCATTTTATGAATTCAAAGACTTGAAAATTTTCCCAAGAATCATGTAGTTTCAAAGCTGGTGGGCTTAATGATTTACAAACTGTGTTTATATTACTGCTACTTCATGGCATCACTTCAGTGATAAATAGAAATACTGGCTATCCAGCAACGTTTAAAAGCATCAAATTTTTACCAGTGATTTCTTTTATTATTATTTTATTTATTTATTTATTTATCTTTTGCAGTACGCGGGCCTCTCACTTTGTGGCCTCTCCCGTTGTGGAGCACAGGCTCCGGACATGCAGGCTCAGTGGGCATGGCTTATGGGCCTAGGCGCTCCGCGGCATGTGGGATCTTCCCGGACCAGGGCACGAACCCGCGTCCCCTGCATCGGCAGGCGGACTCTCAACCACTGTGCCACCAGGGAAGCCCTCTTTTATTATTTATTATTATTATAAATATAAAATCTTCTTGATAACCCCCAACAGTACTACTCAATGGCATTAAGTAGTGATGCTAATGCTCAAGTTAAAAAGTGTTGCCTGAAGCAATAACTTTAGGAGTTAAATATGATAAAACACTTGGAAGACTGCAAAAAACTATGAGGGAGCAGTCAGCCAAATACTAGAGATAATTGCTGAGAAAAAAAGGAGCAGCATTAAAGCAGTAATAAACTACAGTGATTATATAAGCTCCAAGAACATCCACCCACACAAACACCAACCTCTCAAACAAACACAAAAACACATAATTCATAACAGAGTCTTGAAATTTGACTTGTAGATCTCCCAGAATGCATCTGTGACTACTCTGTACTTAACTACAAACCTTGGCGAGGCTCTGCAGCTCTAGGCTGTTATTTGGGTAAGGGATAGCCAAGGACTGGACCCAAGGTGAGCATCTGAATCAAGGGCAGCCAACCAGTGGCCATCTGCAGCCCAGGAAGGAGTCTGGCAGAAGCAGTAAAAACAGCTTTGCCCAGAAGGAACAATGACAATTAGCTAGACTGGACCTTCTCTCCAGAAGTTGAAAAGGAAAGTATGGAGGGAATCAGTTGTAAACAGAAGAAACAAAAACATATAAAAAACAAAGTAGCAAGGGTTAGTCAGTCACAGTAAGGGTGAAGGCCCAGAAAAAGAATCCACAAGCTGCCGAGGGTGGGGCAGACAGAAGACCGCCTGGTCTCCAAAACTGCTTTGGACTCCAGAACACAAGCTTCATCTGGATTTCTGTGATATTTCTATTTCTTTAGTGCCACTTTCATCCATATAATGAATTCTGAGACCTGAGGAGGTAATCTGAGAAAGCTGCTGCCTAATGCATACACTGTTTTTCTGAATTGGTAAGATATTCCTAGGGAGGTAGTGAGTTCTTGCTTTCGTCCCTAGAAGGGCTCAGAAATGCTAAGAGAAAGAGATTCTAATATAAAAAAGTAGCCTTACATACCTGCATTTTTTTCTCTTGCTCATTTTCTCCAATCATTCCTGAACCTGTTACGCTTTCACTTCCATCAATGGACACCTACAGGAATAAAATAAAGCTTAAAAAATTTTTCACATATTGATAACTGTTTAGGCTGGGAGATAAGTACATGGGTACATTATCATTTATTTCTGTGTGTGTTTGAAAATTTCCATTATAAAAATGGGGGAAAAACCTTTTAAATTATATAAATGATATAATTTCAATGCAGGGAAAAAAACACAGCCCTTTTGATATAAAACTTAATTGAGGGGAAAAAAAAAAAAAAACTTAATTGAGAGTTTCCTTCACCTTTCCAAACTCTAGTTTCTACTTTATAATTCATAAGCAGTTCCATCTATACCTCATTGCTTCTTTTATGTCACTCATACTTGAGTATATCTTTGTGTGAATTACCTGCCACCCATTTCTCTTCTATAAGCTTTTACTCCATTCCTTTTTTTGTCTTCAAATGTTCCTTTCTACCCTTCACTTCTTTTAAGATAAATGCTGATCTTCTCCTTGATGCTGTCTGATTTTGACTCTGAATTCCTAGTTTCTTATTGTTTTTTTGCTTTCTTTTCTTTTAGTGAAAGATAAAGAAGCTGTATCTGGGATGTTCTTCACATTGTAAAATGCTGTACCTTTGCTGCATACTGTTCCAAAGCACTGATGGTGTCGGGATCGATCGTGGCATCCCCAGTGTGTAGACCTGCCACTGTCCCATCAGCCTGAATTGCCAAGATGGTGTCAGACTGTGGGACTTGCACTGCATGGTGGATGTAAGCTGTGGTGCCGTCTTCCAGCTGAACTGCCTGTAATGCACTCTGGTCATAACTATCTGAGGGAGTAGAAGAGAATGGCATTAAATTAAAGGTAGTCTGATAAACAGTTACATATTTAAAGGAAGAAGGGAATGAACTTTTATCGAATATTTACTATGAGCAGGGCCCATGTGCTTTACGTATGTTATTTCATTCAATCCTCACAATGATTCTGTGAGGCAGGTATATTTACACCTTATTGTACGAATGGGAAACTGAGGCTTGAGGAAGTAAAGTCACTTTCCTTAGGACCCAGGAAATAAAAAAAACTAACAATTAACAGTCAAAAATCAGTATGCAGGGCTTCCCTGGTGGCGCAGTGGTTAAGAATCTGCCTGCAAATGCAGGGGACATGGGTTTGAGCCCTGGTCCGAGAAGATCCTACATGCCACAGAGCAACTAAGCCTGTGCGCCACAACTACTAAGCCTGCGCTCTAGAGCCCGTGAGCCACAACTACTGAGGCCCGTGTGCCACAACTACTGAAGCCTGCGCGCCTAGAGCCCGTGCTCCGCAACAAGAGAAGACACCGCAATGAGAAGCCCGTGCACTGCAACGAAGAGTACTCCCGCTCTCCAAAACTAGAGAAAGCCCACATGCAGCAACGAAGGCCCAATGCAGCAATCAATCAATCAATAAATTTATTTAAATAAAAAAGGAGTACTAAAAAAAAAAATCAGTATGCAGAGAAACCAGGATCTGAACTCATGTCAGTATGACTCCATGGTTTTTTCCCCCTTCTAAATAACCATACTAAGAAACATACAGCATTGTGAAATAATAAATCTAGCCAATTACAGTGAACCTGTGATCAACTCCCACTGCTAAGGAAAAAAAATTTTCAGAGTTTACTTTTCTCAACTTTAAATAAATTTATTTACAAATTCAAATATTCTATATTTTAAAAAATTTCTTCCTTTGGTTTCACAACTAAATATAGTCTTTTAAAACATTTACAGTCATTCTATAATAAAGTATTTTATAAAGTAATAACAATAGCTAATATTTATTGAGCATTTACTATGTGATAAATATTGTTCCAAGTGCTCTACATGTTTGTACATTTTGTCTTCACAACTACCCTATGATGTGGATACTTATCATAATCCTCATTTCAGATGATGAAATTGAAGCACAAAAAGGTTAAATAATTTGCTCGGGGGCACACAGCTAAAAGACAGCAGACCCAGATTTGAACCCAGATAGTCTGGCTACAGAGCTGTGCTCATTGCTCCTATGCATTCCACCTCAAACCCCTGGTCCTCCCTACACAAAGCTAATAAACATGAACATTTTGCCATATTTGCTTCAGATAGTTTCAAAATTTTTATTTAGTTTTAAAGACCAACACAAGGGGCAAAGGACCTTGCTAAAGACATTATATTTAAAAGGAAGAAAAAAATCAACAATTTAACTTTCAAGTGTTTAATTTCATATTTTAAAGGCAGCCTCTAGTTGAAGTCTTTCAGAGACCAGGGGTTTGCTATTTCAACCTGTTACTGGACAACTCAAATTATTAGAAAGTTTTCCCTTAGACTGTGCCAAAATCTACCATCTTATATTTGAGAGAACAAGCATAATCCTTCTTTTACATGACAACAGCATTTCTGCAACTAAAGGCAGGTCTTATTTTTCCCACACCCTACCTCCCCCTTATTTTATTCAAATGTTCAAAGCTAATTTACCTTTGGAGGTATGGTGAATAAATGCTGTAGTTCCATCTTCTAACTGCACTGCTTGCCCATCCTCTAAACGCAAACTGTCCCCTGCTCAAGAACAATGTTTACATTTAGATCCCATATTTTCCAAGCATATTCTGATAACTCAACAACAACAGAGTCAATAAACCATTAAACACATCATACAAACCTACACTTCCTTTATGGATCCTTCAACATTTAAATAATTTCAGCAAAGCTGCTCTGAATAAGTGTTTAAAGGTAAAAAGATATTAGAATACCTGTTTTAGGAATATTTACCAGGAGATAGGAGAATTGAAAGAAGGAAAAAAAAGAAAATGAGAAGGTGTGTAGGATTTATCTCAAATAATAGAAATATTCACTTAGAACTGTTGCCCATTTATCTCCAGAGTAAAGTCTAGTAATTTCTTTTCCATTAACTTCGAGAGAAAATCTCAATTAAGTTAAAATGGTCTTTAGATCCTCTCCCCTTTCAGAAGGAGACCTAGAGATCAGGACTAAGTTTAAGTAGTAAGAGGCAGTTGGAGGCAGCAAATACTGAAGTATGAGAATCAGAAGGGTAAGTAAATATCAAATACTTACTACTTTTAGGTATGGGTACATGTTGAACATAGGCAGCAGAACCATCCTCCAACTGAATGACCTGACCATCTATGAGTTTCCCATCTAGAACAAACAATTTAAGCCAATAAATTAGCACAAGCAAAAATTTTAAACTTTATACAATTTCAAAATGATATCAACTATAAAAACATACACTACTTAAGATCATGTTCATCTTGATTCTTCCCTCAATGTTCTGAGGCAATTCAATAACACATCCAGTGATCCTACAGAAAGCAGAAAATCCTCCCTCAGCCATCCTTTCTCCCCTCCGATTTTCAATTAGACAAGTTCAAGAGGAAGAGTGGCTCATCTGAGCAAGCTACATGAGTCAAACCTCTATATACCTTTCAGAGCCACTTAGGAATCATGACCCTGACCCCAGCGAAGCTGAAACTGGGAAGATAGAAAGATGTATCAGTATACATGAGGCCAGCTGTCATTCTCATCCCTGGGGGCTACAAGTCCCTTGACTATGTATACATATGCTCAGTAGCTTTCCAAAAAAACAAGGAATTTGAGAACTAGGCTATTTCTTGGAGCAAAGTAAACACTGATTTAGAAACAATGTTATAAAAGCAAAACCAAATGTCTACTTTTACGCATATTTTGTAAAAACATTAAATAATAATTTAAAGGGAAAAAGTGAGAAAGGTCTTACTAAAAATAGGTCAGGGACACTACCCCCTCCCCTCTTCCTCACTAATTCTGATACCCCAGAGTATCTTCCAAATATCTCAAAAGGTGTCCTCAAATTATCAAAACAAAATTTAAGTTAAACTGAAATTACTACCATATGTAGTACAGTGTCCGTAGGAGGGATTGGAAAGTGGTATAACTGCTAGGTGTTCCAACTCTGAGGTTATGAATTGCTGGTAATAACCAATGGGCTGTATATGAGGCACATACCTTTAGAATTGTGTTGTATATAAGCAGTAGAACCATCTGCAAGTGTTACTGCTTGCAGGCTTACACCTTCCATATTTTCTAAATTGTCACCATCTATTATAAAAAAAAAAGTTATTTTCTTTAGGTAACTATCATATGTGTGTGCTGTTTAATTTTTTAAAAAATAAAAATTAGTCAAAAGGCAGACTGCTTAACTTAGACTCAAATGGCATTTCTTATAGCATTTACAAAAAATATTTCTACACCCTACTATACCAGCATCCATACCAGGGTAAAAATGCTCATAAAAAGGCTTAGCTTTGTGTTGCCTTTAGCTAAAGGAGGAGGAACAAAGTAAACAGTATTGTAAGTTTTCATTTTCCCTTAAGATAAATATTTCCAAACCCACATGATCCCTTCAAATAAGATTGCTCACCTGCCACAGTTACTGCCTCTGTCAGGCACAAGGTAACATGCTGAGCCTCCATTCCTCCTCCAGGAAACTCTGTCATTCCCTGAGAATCTCGATTTATCTGGGCTAACAACATTTTCTACCTTGAAAAAAACGTAGGCATTGAGAACAAAGAACGATGTATATGAAATAAAATCTACAAACAATATTTATGAACCATAAAAAATTGCTACGGAAGTGAACAGTGTTTGAAATAAGCTGAAATTTCACTTAATATGCAGGGTAAAAGTATTTGCCCAAAGTCCAGAGCATGCTTTTAATAATTCATCAGTAAACTATTGAGCACACCCAAGTCTTGCCCATCAGTTCTGTACCATGTCTAAAATTCCCATAATTAGTGTTCTTTGGGTTTAACATGGTTGAAGATTCCCACTGAGAATCCATGAATGGATTGAGTTAATCCTGTTGACTCAATCTTCAGAAATCTATGCTGAACCTGGCCACTTCTCACAAGCTTCGCCATTACCTCCCTGATCCAAGCCACTACCATCTCTCACCCTGAGATGTTACTGCAATAGCATCCTAACTGGTCTCCTTGCTTCTACTGTGACTTCCCTCATCTCCTCTCAACACAACAGTCAGATTGTCCTTTTGAATGAAAAAGTTAGATCACATCTCTCTTCTGCTCAAAACCCTTTGATGATTTCTCATCAGAGTAAAGCCAAAAGTCCTTACACTAGCCTATGAGGCCAATGATCTTGCCCCCATTTCTACTACTCTCCGTCTCATTCGTTCCATTTCAGCCACACTGGTGCCCTTGCTTTCCCTCAAACATACTGGATGTTCTGCTGCCTCAGGACCTTTACATTTGATGTTCCTTCTGCTTGAAACATTCTTCCTGGTATCTTCATTATTACTCCCTCATCTTCTTCCAGTCTTTGTTCAATGGCACCTCAACGAGAGCTTCCTTATTCACCTCATTGCAAACTGTACCTCCAACCCCACAATGATGATATACTCCAGCCCTCTTCCCTCCTTTATATTTCGGCATAGTACTAATAAGTTGACATATTACATGTATTTACTTATTTGGTTTTTTTCTTATCTATTTCTCCCTCAAATAGAATGGACAGGTGTTTTTATGTTTGCTCATTGCTGACTAAAGTGCCTAAAAAGTACTTGGCACACAACAGACACACAATTGGTGCAGAATAAATGGATGAATGGCTCTTTTACCAATCATCACCACAACCCCCTTCCTCCCTTTTCCTATCTCCGGGTCCCATTACCTCTGTAGGCCTTGAGTTGTCTCAAACATGAGTTGGGATAATTTAGCTGCCTTGAGCCAGGGAACTGGATACCAGAGCATCTCTTGAGGACCTTTCCAGGTCTAAAGATCTGATTTCAGTGTCAATATTTAAAAGAGCAATATGCAGATAGTAGTAATAATTTGCAATTATATTTATGTTAGGACTACTTGAAGATTTTTGTTTTATAAACACTATAAACTACACCCTCTTTGGATTAAAGCCAGGGACTATGGTTTAGACGCTGAAAGGTATCAGTGCTGTGATAAAAGTCAATCACGGGCTGACTTTTCAGGGATTCCTGAAATATTTCTAATCTACAACTGTTCATAAAGCAGACTGAAACTTCAATACTTCCTTGCTACATCTAAGGGCTAACAGAGAAGCCTCAAAGTAAAACTGGTACTCTGCTGTTAAGCCCCCTGATGAGTACAGGATTGGGACAGGCTAATTTTCAGAACAAGTACTGCCACTATATAACAGAAATAAGACAAGGAAATGGAAGGGAAAACACCTATAAAAATGTAGAAAGCACTCTATGATTTTTACAGCATTCGTCTAGAAGACGAATTTTGAAAAAGGCAGATTACAAGTTAATTTGGGTCATGATGTTAAGAAATGCCTATGGTTTGACCATAATTCAAGTATTTGTCCTTTTCATTGAATTATCTATAAACCTCCAAATAACTACATCAACAGGTAACTGATATATCTGCAATAAATAAAAGTTATTTCTTGTCTGAAAGCTGGTCAAGTGTTAACTTTCTTTAGGAAGGCTTCAGGACCTATAGTATCTATCCTAAGGGAAAAAAATCTACACTAACTGAAACATCTTGAAGAGACAGCTGATTCCTGGACACAAACTGCTGGCAAATACATGGGGTGGTGAAGGAATCAGAAGAGATCATATGGGCACTACAATTACCAGAGATAATAGGTGATGGCAGGTACACAGCCCATCTTATTCTCAAAAAGGCTCTGTGATACAATTAATGCCCTTTGTTAGAAAATGATCAACTAGGGAAAATATGATAATGAATAGATGAAATAAATAAGCTAGAGATCAAACACTCTATAGTTGCTCATACCATATCCACCATCATGTCTTGATTATTTCTGGCACCAACATTTTCAGGTTGTGTGAAAATAAGTATGTAAGATATACATGACACCTTTAGAAAGGGCCACCTTGCAAAAGGTAGTCAGCTTCCTGTGCTTTAATAATGAATCATGGGCCAAAATCAGACACAGAGGAGGCTGTCATGGGGACACAACAGGAATCTCAAATGAAGACATCTGTGTAATAAATAAAGTTCCTGCCTTTCTGGAAGATGATGATGGATATTAGCATAAGAGAAAAAAACACACTTACGAAATTTAGCAAATGCTATATCCAGAATATATAAAGAAATTCTACAACACAACATCAAAAAACTAATAACCCAATTAAAAATTGGACAAAGGACTTGAATAGAAATTTCTCCAAGGAAGATAAACAAATGCCAAACAAACATATGAAAATATGCTCAATATAACTAACTGTCAAGGAAATGCAAATCAAAACCATAATGAGATATCACCTCACACCTGTTAGAATGCCCACTATTGGGACTTCCCTGGCTAAGTGGTTAAGACTCTGCACTTCTACTGCAGGGGGCCCAGGTTTGATCCCTGGTCCGGGAACTAAGATCCTGCAAGCTGCGTGGCACGGCCAAATAAATAAATAAAAATAAAACAAAAACAGTATGGAGATTCCTCAAAAAATTACAAATAGAATTACCATATGATCTAGCAATTCCACTTCTGGGTACATATCCAAAAGGATTAAAAACAGAATCTCAAAGAGAGATTTGCACACCTCTTCACTGCAGCATTATTCACAATAGCCAAGAGGTGGAAGCAACCTAAATGTCCATCAACGGATGAATGGATAAAGAAAATGCAATTTATATATACACAATGGAATATTAGTCTTAAAAAAGAAGGAAATACTGTCATATGTTACAACATGGATGAACTCTGAGGACATTATTCTAAGTGAAATAAGCCAGTCAAAAAAAGACAAATACTGCATGATTCCACTTATATGAGCTATCTAAAGTAGTCAAACTCTTAGAATTAGAAAGTAGAATGGTAGTTACAAGTACTAGGGGAGTTGTTTGATGAGTATAGTTTCAGTTTTGCAAGATGAAAAAGTTCTAGAGATCTATCACACAACAATGTCCATATAGTTAACACTACTGTACCCTACACTTGAAAATGGTTACGACTGTAAATTTTATGTTGTGGGTTTTTAACCATAATTCTTAGAAAAAGGTCTGAACACATATGGAAAAATGTTAGGATCTGTTAAAAACCAAGTGGATACATAAGCTTTTATTCAATTACTTATACAGGTACTCCTCCTTATATTTGATAGATTTCATAATTTTAAAAGTGAAAAATATCCAAAATTATTGGCAGGAAGAAAAAAATGTCTGAAAATTGATGGTTAAAATTAGTAACTAAATACTAGCTGACTTCATCCCTTAAAAGAAAGAATCAGTGTTTCCTCAGTGGTATGAATCTACATCAGACGAATATTTTAAAATGTGAAGCCCTTAGATATTTCAAGTTTGGTCTAATTTGTTAGATACAATTATTACCACAAATTATTATGAAAATATAAATCTAATGGTCCAGGTATAAAGAACTCCAACTACAAGTAACCTTTATTGTGGTAAGAAATGATACAAAAAGAAATCTAGATTAACAAATCTTAGAGGTCTTTTTGCATGAAGCCACAGAAGCCAGGCCTTCAGAAATTGTCAAGCTCAGATCCTAACCTCAGGCTGGTTTCACCTCAACACTTAACAGAGAAGCTATGTCATTCTATTACCTGGTCTCAATTCCAAATTTTACTCATAAATTTACTACTATACAAAGTGCTTCTCCATTTAAGCATGGTCATTTGTGCTGCATTTTATGACATCTCCTAACCTGGAATGAGGAAGTTCCTTAGTACAGCAACATAAAAATAGCAGGCTAGGGGCTTCCCTGGTGGCGCAGTGGTTGAGAGTCCGCCTGCCGATGCAGGGGACATGGATTCGTGCCCAGGTCCGGGAAGATCCCACATGCCGCGGAGCGCCTAGGCCCGTGAGCCATAGCCGCTGAGACTGCGCGTCCGGAGTCTGTGCTCCGCAACGGGAGAGGCCACATCAGTGAGAGGCCCGCGTACCGCAAAAAAAAAAAAAAAAAAAAATAGCAGGCTATCCTGTACCTTTGCAGTATGCTGATCCAGTAACACTGCTTTGATTAACATTTGTGGAAAACTATCTTTAAATTCCTTCAATTTTATTTAAATACACCCAGGGAATAAGCATGTTCCACTGATGAAATGTAATTCAGTTAAGTACAGAGTAGTTAGAATGTGCTGGTGAATGATGTAGAGTTTTCATAGGCTCTACAGAATGCTAAAGGGTAAAACTGAGGGATAGAGTTTATACTACCTATTTTAAAGAAGTAGAATATTCTATCAGATGGGTGAAATGTTGGAAATTGAAGGCTTTCAAACTTTTTGCCAAGTTCCAGGACCATTCAGAAATAGAATATTTGAAACTGACTGGCAGGTACTTGAGATGAGGCCTAGGAGACCTGAACCTAAAATACCTGTGAGAAAAAGAGGTGAGAAGAGACAAGAATTGAGAAATGGACACCTAGGTCTAGTCATCAGGAACGTCAATTTTGGTGATGGTTTGTTCTTAACTGAACCACTGATGTGAAAAAGTACCAAAACGAATCTCTCTCAAACCTCAACAGTGTAGCATTAAAAACAGAGCTTGAGGGCTTCCCTGGTG